TGGCTACTTAAAAAGTCTTCTTGATTAAAGTGATATTTAATCCATAAATCATGAATTTCATTCCTGTTTGGCTTCATGATGCATCTTTCATGAAACTCAGGTGAGACGTTTTCCTCTCTGGTGACAAAACCCCTTTGAGTTCTCCCCATTTAATTTCACAGAAATGGGCTGAAGGAGGCTTTGCCCACATAAGAAATCAGGTGTTAGACAATCAGCAAGTATTCAGCCAACACCTCTTCTTGCACACAACAGCAGCCCAACATTTTATGCTTCTAAACACAAGAAAGAGAAATTCAGCCTTTGGCATGGTGAATTTTGGACCCTAGGCAGCCTCAGACTTCAAAAAGGCAGTAAATCATTATTTTATCTAGCTGAAGATGGTGGAAAAATAAGGTAAAGTATTTAATGTACACAAAAGAAATCTAACAAATGCAAATAGGGAACACTTGCTTCCTTCTCAAACATGCATGTGATTACCTCAGGGATAATGTAGGGGGAAAAAGGAATACTATTATGTTAGGGTATCCACAGCTTTTACCCTGATAGTGCTGATTGAAATTCTCTCTGTGCACTGTTATTCCTTCCCAGTATTTGTAAGACATTAGTAGAAGCAGTATATTTCATCAGAGGAGTGCTAAACTGAAAGGTTTCAAGTAAAACTGGGGTTGTAATTACTTCAGGTCACTGTGGCCATATAAAAACAGTAACTTAGTGAGGAAAGGATTTAATAGCCCAGTACAGTAATATAATTAGGCACATCTTTCTAAGAAAGGTTAATCCATTTAATTCATGGTGAGAAAAAGCTCTGTGCTAGAGAATTTAAACTACATTGGCATAATTAACTAGGTAGGAATAAAAAGTTCATTGGATGTGAAACCAGAAGTTATGTATCTATACCTTGCTACATTTACAGTAAAAATTATCACCAATAAATTCATAAATGCTGTTCAATTCAAATTAAGGAATCTTCCAGAGCAAGGCATACCCTGCAGAGTTTGGGTCAAAAACAGATATAGTCAATGGTAAAATATAGTCAATGGTAAAATAGCCTGTTAAGAGAAGCAATCAAAAAGCATCAGATTTCCTGAAGACTTGGCCAAACCCACAATATCTTTTTTTTTAAAGAAAGAAAATCCTGAATAGCTGTCATAGCTGTTATTCCTGATATAAATCCCAACATAGAATAGCAGCTCTATTTTTAGAAAAACATCAGCAACCTATCAAGTATAACATAGAAAATAAACTAGAGCATGAGATGCCATAGGAGAAGTTCTGAGAAGGGCAATTGGCAAATCCATGCAGGACACCACAGAGAAAGCAGGGGACATGCTGCAGCTGGAGGCATTTGTATGATCTGTTGGGGCAAGCCAAATTTTTTCTATTCCCATGAGCCCAGGCCCATTGCACTGGAACATGTTCTGAAACAAGAGAGGTAATGGGAAGAGGCTACTACCAGAGAGGGCTGCAGAGTGCAGTATGACAGGCACGTGTATGCCTGCAGTACCTGGTCTGATGGGAGAGTTAGCACCATCCCAGGCTATAGGAACTAGTTTTAAGTTAGTTCCTAAAATTCAGTCCCTGTAGCTTTCTCTGGCCTGACTTCAGGAGAAAAAAACCCAAGTAAAATAACTAACCAAATATCTCAAACTAAACAGCATTTTTTTTCTCCTCTAGTTTCTTTGATTCTTGAAAAATAAATCAGCTCTGCTGAAAATCCTCATCTTTCCATTGGATTATTCAGTCTACTTCATCCATCATTCCTAGTCCAAGCCACCTGTCAGTCTGAAGAGTTAGGAGGTACAGCTGTGGGCCAAGAACACCCAGGCACCACTAATCACAGCCTCCACCTGCAAATAATCCCTCTCTGGTTCTGCTCTCAGGTGATTATGCTGAGTAAAAAATTTATATTCAGAGCCACCTGTTTTTCTGGTTGATAATTACCAAGAAGTCTTATTCTCAGAGTAGATTCTCCCACCTAGTTCTGCAAGCAGCTCCCATTTGCTCACCTGGAACTGTCCACCTGGTTTATACTCATCTGGATATGCAGCAGGTTCACAGATTTTGTCCTCCAAGTCCTTGGCACAAGGCTATCCCAAAATATGCCTTCATCCTGAGACCCACCCTTTCCCCAGGCCTTGACTTCGTTCAATTCCTCTGCTGCCCACTGCCAGAGCCTCCCAAAATGTCAGCCTCCTCTTTGCATCTCAGTAAAGCTTATAGTAACAATGCTTTTAAATAACAATGACACAATCACAAAGAGGGCAAACCAGGATTTTGTGAGTGACTGCTCTTTTGCTGCCTGCCCAACTCTAATTTCATCTCTCACTGTACTGAAGGGTGAAAAACTAAAGAGAAACAAGCACTTTGACTTAAGGTTAAAAAACATCCAGAACCTCTAGACATAAGCACACTATTTTAAGCAGCATTAAATTAGTAGGAAACAACTTTTGGGGGGCAACAGTGCTACACCTGAGACAAATTAGCTCCACCATCATCTTTGATTCAGCTGTGCTGGAGCAGAAACATTTTGCAAGCAAGCACTCCACTGTGACCTCCTTGTGCAAGCCCTGGCAAAAAAGATACTTACAGTAAGACTTATTATGCACAGAACCATTGACATCCCTATAAGCATTTAGCTAGTAAGCAACTGCAGAGCTTCCCATTAATTTCAGTAGACATAACTTCAACTGTAGCTCGAGAGGTACATGTAGGCATTTCTAACAGCTTGCCATGTGAAGAGTATGAATTAAAAATATTTAAGTGATTTGAGGCAAGGTTTTGCTCTGCAGATGACTGCCTAAGCAAAGTGGTTTTAGTTTTTAGGGTACAGACCATCCCAAGGCATTCCTGATGCTGTGGGATACCTGCTGCAGCCTTGCTTCGGAAAGAACTCACAATGTGCCTTTGGCAAAGGGCATACCATAAAAACATGGAGTTTTAAGTAAGTATCAAACATGACTCTTAATAGGAATATTACGAGTTTCTCTCATCATTCTTATTTGTTATATTTGAAGTTGAGCCCTTGAAAATTCACAGAATTCCCTGCATGTAGGATGTTTTCTGGGATGGTCAGACTGCAAGCAGTGCCTATCACAGCACAAACTGTGCTCTAAGTAAGTTTCAGATTTTTGAATTCTGCAAAGGAGGAAACAAAAATCTTACTCTTGTGTTTAGGAGAAGTCTAAGGAGATTTTCTTTTATCAGCATGCAGATTTTCAAAACAATCAACCATAGCTCTAAATGGTATTAACTACCTTAATCTCTACTCAGTCTAATAAACTAGGTTACTACACCATTGAAGAAATAAAATACCTACTCCAGGAAATAGTCAACACAATCCAAAAGGAGAAAAAGAAACAAACCTAAATGCCTTTAAAAAAAAAAAAAAATCACATTTAGGAAAAAAAGTCTCCTACCACAACCATACCTCCAGAGCTGCCTCCTCCCAGCAAGACAGGACCCTTCTGGTGCAGGCACACCAGGAGAAGAAACCTGAAAGGTGGGGAGACAAAGGGTGTCCTCAGCGGTTACGGCTGTGACTGCAAACCAGGAGATCAGCTCAACCCAACACAGGTGTGGGCTGTTCATGGGTGGGAGCCTCATCTGGGGCACCATCAACAACCACCCAAGTCTGCCCAGAGCCCCAAGCAAAAGGGAAACCCTCCTTCTTAACCCAGGGGACTTCATCAAACTCACCCAAGTGCCTGTGTCCCATGGGTATGAGGTGCCTGGAACGGCAGGTTTGAAAGTAAAACTCCTTTTTTTGCTGTTTTGTAACATCAGTGTGTTCAAAAGCACTTGGGCTAACACTGCTCAAGTAAGGCGGATTGCAAGCAAAAATCAGGCATAAGCAGAAGCCAAGTATCAGATGCAGAGAGCTATTCTGAACCACACAGAAAAAGAAAAGCCAACACAAAAAGGCCAAGTGCAGCAGGAACTTGAGAATCTTCAAGACAGCATCCAGGAGTAATGGGGGAGCTGGACTGAGCTGGAGTGGAGCTGGGGAGCACCCAGAGCCCTGCACCCTCCTTCCCTTGCCTGGGTTCAGGATGCTCAGCACACCATGGGCAGAGCTGGTGGTGCCAGGGACCCACATAAACACAGGACATTGCCAAGGGGTCCTGGCATCACCAGAGACACATTTTGGAAGCACTTGAGCAGAAAGCCTCCTTGGGGTTTGGATGAGGAATAAGCTCATCATGGGGTGGTTCAGAACACACTTGTGGGGATGTGCTCAAAAACGTGACCCTGGGCACAAGGGACAGGGAGGGACAGCCATGCAAAGCAGCACGTGAGGCAGTGAGCAGGGGTGGGCACTGTACCCACTGTGGCAGCCCCTGGCTGGTGCTGGGTGTGTGACACTGAAATTCTGCCCCATCCCCTTGGCTGCTGCTGAGACACCTTCACTGTGTTCAGGTAAGAAGCCATTCTGCAAACAACCTGTAGTTTATTTTGTTGGTTTTTTTTTTTTGGTTGGGGCTCCAGAATGGAAGACACTGCCATCTCTGCCTCTCCTCTAGGTTGGTCCTCCTGGAGCATGTGTTATTTTGGCTAGTTCAGCCTTTCTACCTGGTTCATTTAGCCCAGAGCTGACAGGCTTGCAGGTAAGACTGGAAGGACTGACTTCAGCAGCAAAAGGCTTGGGTTTTCCAGGTGGGTGCCTCTGTGTGTGCTGAGATGTCAGAGATTCCTGTAAAATGTTGTCTCCAACCCCCACTGATCCTCCCACCAGTGAGGCTGCATGAAGACAGCTGGAATCTCCAGATGGGTCTGTCCCAACTCTCTTTGTGGCTCTGAGAACAAAAGAAACCTCTTCTTTGAGTGAGAGATGGCTGCAGACAGCAGGAACACACCACTTGAGCAGGGGAAAAGGACTGAATTGGGGAAGGCCATAAGATCCATTTGTGACACTAAATAAAAAGTGACACTGTTCAGCTTCACTTACACATATAGTAAACCAGCCTGGGTGAAGGGAGCACAAAAACGAGTCAAAATACAGATTGATTCTGAAATAAGTTCTTTTTTTATCCTTTAGAACCATGGACAGGAATGTACAGCTCCACAAAAATGGAGGCCAAACATATTGAACCAAAACATTTCCTGGGATTCTGCGTGACAGTTTTTCTAAGGATATTTCCTTTCAACCAAACTCAGTCTAAAAGCAGCTTCCATTTGCAGTAATTAAAGTAATCGTGGTACACATTGCACACTTCTTGAAACACAATCTTTGTCATAGGCACTATGATTATTTTTCTTGTCTTTTTATTTGTTTTTACTGGTGAAAAAATAAACACAGGTGAAAATGAACACCTTTTTCCCCCTACTTCAATGTGTTTAGACTATGTGATTAAGTGGATATTTTCTCCAGCTATTTAGATGAATAAACTTTAAGTTGGAGCATTCATTTCTGTGATCTAAAAAAAAGTTTGTGCATGTAGCTTTACATATATATATATATTCAGAAGTCCCAAATCCAACTCAAGTGTTTATCAGTGATTTTATTGACAACAAAATCCAGTTTGTTGAAATCAAATAGTTGTCTTATTTCAGTGAATGGTTCAAGACTTTCGGCTGCAAAAAAGTTTTCACAAGACTCGCCCTAGCATTGAGAACATTGACTTTATGTTCACATTAGGTGCTGTTTCAGGCATATCTACAGATCAGTTATAAGGTAAACATAATTTTATGTGATATAGAAAAGATCTAGTGACCAATAAAGGAAAGCATGAAATCAGGTTTAAGTCTACAATAGGAGTTCATTGATTTAAATGAAGCCTGATTGACTCTGCTTGCTAAAGTGCTGAGCAAAAAATCTGAAATATTGGATTTGTGACCAATAAGATTTATACTGGGAACCAATCATTCCACTTTTGTTTCTGGACATCTTAATGTCCTTGTTGACTAAATAGGGAGGACTGAAAAACTATTTAACCAGTAAATCAGGCACATGATTTGCAAAGGCAATTCTTCCCTTGCAGTTATTCCAACTATCCCAGCTGGATATTCACAGTGAACAAACCACATTTCCATCACTTCTGTTCCATTTTTAAGTGCTTTTAGTGTAGGGATTTGCTCCAGGCCACATGAGCAGCCTGTGAGCGAGGAGCACAGGGCTCTGCCTGGTCTTCTCTCAGCTAATTAAGGAAGACAGGCAATGTGCTGGTGCCCAGATCCTGCCCACAAGGATGGAAAGTTGCCCATGAGCTACAGCACCTTCCTAGAGCACAGCCACTCCCACAGTGATGGGTTTCTCTTTGCTCTCTGAAGCCACCTAGAGACAGCTCTAAATTAATGGAAATGCAAAGCTACTCCACTACTTACCAGTGAAACTGAAATGAAAATCACAACTTTGCTGCCAATTTCTATGAGGTTAGACAGGAGCCTTATTTAAAAGGACTCTGATTTCCAGGGTGTTTTTCCAAGTTGCCCAAAACCTTAGGAGAGTTTTTCATTTTTAGCATCATAGTCCTGCCCCACTGTAAACCCTATTCCCTGTTCAAAGAGGGATCTGAGCTTGTGGGATGCTCCTCACCACCCAGACCATTGCCTGCAAGGCTTCAGGAAGGGCTGGTTGGTCCTGCTTGCCAGAAGGTGATGTGGGACTTGGTGCAGCCCCCTGGCCAATGTCACAGAAACATCCCTCAGGCAAATGAAACTGAGATGGAAGTTAAGGAGAGTGGCAAATGCTGTCCTGAGCATTCTGAAAGTCTGCCCAAGATATTGCAAACCACAGACAATTTAAAACAGTTTGTCTATGTCACAGCCTGCAAATAAGGGTGACCAAACCATACAGAGTCATTTTAGCATCACCTGTCTGTGCAAATGCTAATGGAATCAGCTGAAGAAGTTTCTGGTAATTAGCCCTTACTGATGCCCCTGTCCCTTCTGCAAAGAAGACAAGAGCACATCTCTTGCCTTAGCTTTGCTTAAGGTTTTAGAAGTTTTCGGGAATAAGAGCTGTCGAAAGAAAGAGAGCTTCTTGGAAAGAAAGATTGGATAAGAAAGCACATGGACAAACCCTGTTCAGAATAACCCTGCTCCCCACAGGCAGCTCAGAAATTTAGAGTTGGTCTCCTGACCTGCTTTGGAAAAAACCATACCATTGTTATCTGAAATGAAAATGCAGACAAGCTGAATTTGCCTTCATGCTTCTCTATATAACATCCAGAGAAGCAGCATGGAAATTCCATATAAGAGACAGCTTTGTTAAATAAAAGTGATAATGTGAATGATCAGCCTGATTGTGCCAAGATCTGAATGCAGACAATTGCTGCAGAACAAGCATGGAGAGTTTTCCCTGTACTGTTTGTTCTCTGGGAGTCACTGGCACAGGCTGCCCAGGGAAGCTGGGGCTACCCATCCCTGGAAGTTTTCAGCTTCAGGTTGGATGGGGCTGGAGTAACCTGATCTACTGTAAAGTGTCTCTGCCCATTGCAAGGAAGATGGAAATAAGTATCTTTCAAGGTCTCTTCTAAACCAAACTATTCTATGGTACATACATGATTTTGGACTGCAAGAGCCAGCTCTGATCTGTAGAACTGGAGTCAGAACTGCGGCTGAGCTCTGGCAAAGACAGATCAGCAATGACAATTTTAAGACTTTGGAAGCAGCTTCACCTCTGCAATAATCAAGGAGAATATACAATGAAGTAAAAAAAATGAGGTTAGTTGGAATCAAACTGCTTTAACTATTCTCTGAAGTTACCCTGATGGGCAGAGACATTTCTGCTTAAATTGCCCCAGCTCAGGTGGTGGGAACTAATGAATTAGGTCAAACCACAGGCCACAGGCTCAGAAACTGTAAATCAGCACTGCTGCTGGCACTCCATATAACCTGGCAATACCTGGGAGAATCCAGCCCATCAATTTTTAGCTCAAATTTTTTCATTTTGATTTAATGAGAGGAGCCTTCATGGAAGTCAGTGCTGACACCTGCCTTTTGGCACAGTCACTGGTGGAGGAGCTCAGACACCCTGTGGGTTACCTTTGGAAAGGAGCAGAGGTTGGCACTGCACAGGTGGAGACCTGGGGTTTATTTCAGGCAGCTCCACTGCTGAGCAACCACAAATAGCCTCCTTTGGGAGCCTTCACATGAACTGTGCTTCAGGGAAACAGCTGCCACTTGTGCCACACCAGAGTCTGACCTGAAGTTTTATGTAGTCCAATATCTTATTTACCTTTACAACCCAAAGTTATCACTGATGCACACAGAAATATCCAGCTTCTTGTGGGCAACTTGAAAGAACTAATTTGAACATTGTTAGCATAATTCAGGTTGGAAGGTCATCTAGTCCAACATCCCTGCAACAAGCTGGGAACTCTTCAAAAAGATCAGGAGACAAACATAAACACAGATCTCAGTCATCTCCTATTATCAATATTTAAATATCAATATTTGTAATTTAGGTTTCCAACATCTGATTTTAAAAAAAAAGTTAACATAATACAAGTTACATCAAAGGATTGCAGAATTTGGAAATCCTTAACTTAAAAACAAACTAGCGCAAATTGTGAAATTTGCACTAGTTTGTTTTTAAGTTAAGGATTTCAGTGAAATGAGAATCATCTGAGAAAGAAACAAAAGGCAAGGTTTTCAGATGATGTGGATCTGGCCTGACACAAATTCCATCCCTCCTCAGCCATGGAAAGACCTGTGCTACATCAGGAGAAGCTCCCTACCCTGTTCTCCAGTTGTTCCCAGTGTGTCTTGCTGGGGTGGTGAGGGTGGTAATGCTTGTGCCACCTCTGTTTGCCCCATCAAGAACAGGGAAAGCCTCAGCTACTTCTAGAACATTTCAGTTCAGCAGATGGCTCCAGTCTCAATAGTAACTGGTTGATTTTTGATTAAAAAAAATTAAATCAAGTATTCAAGTCTCTCTTCTTTTCTTTTTGGATATTCATTTATTTCCTGGAAGAGATCAGAGATAATCTAAAGCAAGAGAGTTTAACTTGAGTCAGAAAGCCAAAGTGAAGCCTGCACTGTGTTTCTGCCCTGCTTCTGCTGAGGTATGCAATGTATAGGAGTGGATTTCATGCTATGAAAAATCATCTCAATGTAAGCAAGGGAAACTCCAAACCTGGGTTTCCTCAGAAAATACATATGACTTACAAACCAGCCTCACTTCTTCATGTCTCTGATGCATCTTGATAACCTTAACTACAATTGTGTATTCCAGAGAAGGCAAGGAACTATTGTTTGTTTTAGAATATTAATTATTAGTAGTATTCTTTTATAGTCCTCTATTATTATTTGGGTTTTTTTTTGTTTCCAAATATTTACACAACTGGGAGCTCTTGTTCCATATTCCTTGAAGGAATGGCAGGAAAGTGATTTGCAGCACGGGCTGCATAAATCCTTCTTCAAGGAGAGAGCTTTCCCCTCAGGTCAAACTAAAGCAGACAAATGTTAAGTGCATTAAAATGTTTAAGGCCATAAATTTATTCAGGGTCCCAAATGTCAGGCTGATACTCTTGATTCTGAGGGCAAGGTAAAACCAAATGTGAATGAAGAAGCTGAAAGGTTACAAATTCAGTGAATTCAGTTAGACCAAAGCAGGCATGGACAGCACAGAAGTGGCTCTTGCACTGCAAGAAATAAGGACAGGGGTACATCAGTGCCCAGTCACTGCAGTGATGTGGTGCAGACCATGGGCCCCTCAAGGACAGCAAATTATAAACTGCATGTAGCTCTCCTGATGGTGTGAAGAGAATGGGTTATCACAAGCTATGGGACAATTACAGGATTTCCATGCTGTTGACATACGTTATATCCTACAGTTTATTTACATACTTCAGTCATCAATAACCCTTCTCCATTACAGCTGTCAAGTATTATATATAGTTTCTTATATTACAAAGAAAAAAAATAGAATTATAGGTGGTCTTGCTGTGTTTTATTACTTATCTGGGAAAACTGGCACAAGAACAGCCTTGTGGGGTATTAGAAAAATCACTCCTTGTTTACAGGAGTGTTGATCAAAGAGGAAACTGCTAAATCCTTTCAAGCAAGGAAGAGTCAGTGCAGGCTGTCAGTGAGGTGTGAGCACTCTGTCTCTGAAGCACTGGAAACAGTGCTTTAATAATACAGAACCAAAACATAATTAAATTTGTTCCAAGGGACAAGGCAAGCAAGAAAAAAAAATGGAAATTTCTGCGCGTTTTCCTTTAATCAAACACTACCACTGTGGTCATTAATAAATTCAGATGATTTACCTTTCCTAGCAGGTAAACCTTTCAACAGTAAACAACTGCAGTGGTTTTTACTGTTAAGATGAAAGCACTCTCATCCCCTTTAGCAGACACTGGATGACTCTTTCCTCCTCCACTGTGGCTTTTCTTGTTTGGGGCTATGGTGATGACTTTCCACTGTCTCTAACAAATTCTGTATTTCTTGCAAGACACTATTAATACATTCTGTATCTCTTGCAAGAGACTTCCAATTCCTTTGGCACAATCCTCTGATTGCCATGGAATAAAAATGTAAAAATAACCCACAAACCAAACACAGGCCTACTTTATTAGTAATTTTACTGCTGTTGTAGCTTTTTGATCTCTATTTAATGTTTGAACTTTCCTGTGGAAAATACAGAAATCCTGCCTGATAGGACGATTTGGAAGTGCCAATTTGTGTTGGCTTTTTTCCCTTTTCACTTTCTATTTCTAAAACCTACTTTCCCAACTTTCTAAAAATCTTTTTATCCTTACTAATTCCCACACCAAGTCTAAACCAGAAAACTGGGTGTCAGTTGTTCTCCTGTAAGTAGACATCAAAACAAAGGAAGCACAATCTTGCTGTGAATTCAGCAATAATGTAGTACAGAAACAAAAAAAGTTTGCATCACTTTATATTTTCAGCAAGATAAATAACTGTATTATTCTATGAACAATTTTAAAATAAAATTAGATAAAATCTTGATCTCTTTAAGGAAATCTATCATTGCAGCTTTTGGACCACAAAAGAGGAGACTTTATGACTATGTGTCAGACAATACAGATAATGGGTTCATTGACCTGTTAAGCTGCTGAAATAAAATAAAAACAAAAAAATCACAAAAAACTGAAAAATCTATACTAAATATTTGCTGTTTCCCAATCTCCTTGAAGATAAATATTTTAAATTCATGACAAGATAATAAATCACTTTATAAACTCATTGTTTTCCATAGGGGTAAGGAGTTTACTGGGAAATTTCATTTTATTGAAAGGCAATTATTATTAATACCACTTTCAAACACAGTTTTTATTCCAGGTCTGCTCCTTCAAGCTTCAAATTTATTTACTGCAAGTAGGACTCTTTCAGAGTTCTTTGGTATTCATTTTCAGAATTTCTTATAAGACTAAGAAATGTTCAAGTAACGTCCAAAAGGAGACTACAGGAACCTGGGGATAAATTGGGAAAAGGAATCCAGATTTTCTCCCTACTTACATGAGAAGTAGGTGTGAATCAATTTCTAACATTTCAATTTGGGAGCATATTGAGCACATGCTTGGTCATAAGCACATGCCATCAGCTCCCTGTTGATTTCAAAATTCAAACTTGAAGGGTGCTGCTGAGTGGCTTTGGCATCAGCCACACTGATCCCAAGTTCCCTGCTGCTGAGCCTGGCCAGGGACACTCAGCCTGTGCCACATGGAGCTGGCAACCCAAGCCTATCACCAGCCAAGGAGCTGAGAGGGCTCACACTCTGCTGGGATGCTCAAAGGCAAAATAAATCCTTTTGTGTAGCAGTGCTGACATCACAGGGGAGACTGCTAAGCTTTGTGGGCATCAAGCAGCACGGATTTGGGATGTGATCCTCAGTTAACAGCTGCTGCCATTGCTGCACTGACCACAGCAGCTGAGAGCGCAGCCAGGTACCAAAGGCATTCTGAAGGGCTCGCATTCCACAGAACCATTTGTTGGTCTAAACATGTGCCTGGAGAAATGACAACATTCCAGCTTTGGGCCTTGGGGTACTGAAGGGTTTTTCAAAGGTAAACACTAAAAATGTGCCCATACTTACCCACATCTCCTATTTCAAATGCTGGCATTGTTCTACTGGTTTTTAATTTATTTAGGGTTATTTTGGATTGTTTTTGAAGAAACTGTAAACAAAAATGAATTTTAAAAAAGGATCAGGATATATACCTCTCACAATTCTCCATGGTGCTGTGCTGGAGACACAGGCTTTCTCTCTGCTCAGTTCAGAGCAAGTTCAATTTATTTAGTCAGCTGCTCTCCCAGTTTGTTTGAATGCAATGCTATGTGTGCAAATTTTCACACCAGACTACACCTGGAACTTCACAGGTCAGATAAAATTTTTAATTATGATCCACGTAAACGACTGAGTTCAGAGCCTCTTCCAGGGGGATTACAGACTGTCTCCAAGGCTGGGAACAGATGTACTTTAGGAATTAATTGCATTTATCAATGACTTGCATCCCTTCCAATCCACAAGTTCAGTGGGACCAGAAGCAAAGCAAAATTTGGCCTACCATGTTGGCTGTTTCAGTACGACTTTCAAATGGATGCTTTGCACAATCAATTGTCAGACCTCAGAGAAAATGTTGCCCCATTCACTGTAAAACAGGAAGGTCCACAGAGGAAAACAGTTGCATTAGAAAAACACACAAACAACATTAAGGCTACCTAGTTGGATATTTTCAACCCTTTTTGTTTTCCTCTGCAAACAATGACAGTTTCAGTAAGATCTGAAGCGATGCTCTGAACAAATAATACACTAGTCTGTCAGTGGTTAATATTAACGTCTCTCTATTCAAACATGCTGAGAACTGAATAGAACAGTTAACATATAACAGTCACACATCCTTTGCTGAGTACAAGATCGTATCTCTAACATCAACCAAAGATTTCCTCACCATTTCAGATCTTCAGCTATCATTCAGTAAAACATTCCATTCTCTTAAATACATCGCTTGTCTCCTCTTTCTGGGTCTTTCGGGGGTGCTGCATGAACACATTCTCTCCCTAAAGGCATGGCCTTTCTTCAGCTGAAATCTTGCTGTGTGTTCCCATTATGTTGCCAGAGGTGAATTTGCAGCGCTTGGGGGAGGGAAAATCTTGCATCTGAATCAAAAAGATTGAATTTTTTAAGCATCAGTTTGGGCAGTATTCTGCACTGTACTGCAGAAAGATCATCCCGAAGAAATTAATGGTGAACGATTCATTACTTGTGATCACCACTTGAAAATTGTTGAACCCGAGGTTTATATAGCACCCAGTTTTCATATAATAGGAAAATTCAGGTATGTTCACAGGGCTTATGGGCAGAGGCAAGCTCCCTTTGCTCATGTCCTGAGATGGGGGATGCAAGTGGTGTGGACAGAAAGGTCCAATGACTGTAGGGGTGCAGAGCTGAGCCCCACCTGATGCACCCTGCCTTTCAGAGGGTTTATCTGGTATGAACTCAGGGCCATGCCCACCACAGCCAGCTCAGCTCATGCACAGTGAGACTGTGCCCAGGCACCACATAAGGCAGGGAAATACCAGGGTGAGCCCAAACCCCACGGGGATCCCCCCTCACTGCTACAACAAAAGCTCTGTCTTTGCAGAATGGAGTCTGAACACCTCACACTCCATCCTGGGGCATAAAACAATAGTAGGCTCTCAAATACATTTCTGTTGAAAACACACAGCAAAGATTGCAGCCATAGAAATTTCTGTAAACAGGACAATTTCATCAACTTTATCTTTAAAAGTACCCCCAAAACCACAAAAGCAACCAAAAATAAGACTTGCTGAATGAAGACAGTCAAAAATAAAATTTTTTACTGCCTTAACAAAAAAAAAAAAAAATGACATACACCTTCAGCATTTCTTTTCCAAATTTACTTGACAGAGGTTAAGATATTGCTTTATTCTGACTCAACATACAACAGCACTGTGAGATTGATTGTGCTATTTTGGGAAGTCTTGAGACTTGTGAACTAGAAAGTCTGGGGCACATTAATAAATCTAACAATTATTTTGCTTCAAAGGAATATTTTAATACATTCTGTATATACTCTTAAATTTTTTTTAATCAGTCTCCTGGCACTAACCAGGGAAGGCTATTTAGTGATTATTTATTATAGTGGATTTTTTTCCCCCAAGAATAAGGAGATATTTTAAGACTTATAAACCCAGTAAGGTGTCTCACTGAACCCAATTCATTGCAAAATTGGCACATTCTGTTACAATTTATGGGGGGAAGAGGGACTCGAAGGCTAATGCAAAAAGGACTTACAGTGTGATTAGGATACAGCAACCAGGGAATGATGCATCCTCTCTAAGGCCTTGATCCCCTGCAGGGAGGGACTCGGTGGAACCATCTGCTCTTAGAAAGCTCCATCAGAGTCAGATCTCTGCATGCCTGTGGGCCTGCCCATACTGAACCATCTGCAGGGTTGAAGCTTTAAAGTTCACAAGCCTAAGCCATAATTAATTAAAGTGACTGGAGAACTGAATGCAGGAACAAATTAGGCAGCGTGGACACTTACTGGCTGGATTTTGATCATACGGAATCTCCCTGACTCTTCTCTGAACAAGCCATAATAAAAAATAAGTTTAAAAAAAATACACACACACCGAGAAGTGCTCCTTGAGAGCTTACAAATGCTTTTAAAGTGTAAAAGTTTAGAAATGTTGAGGGGTGCTAACGAACAACAAAGTTTATGTTTCCACTTAAAAAAAAACCAAACCAGAAACCAAAACCAAACCTGTTGTTATACACACGTATACATTTCCTCTCGTTCTTCCTCACTCTCCACCAAGGCAGCTCTTGTAGTCAAAGCTCAGAAGATGGAGCAGCTGTGGACTCACTGAATCTCTATAGACCCCAATCCTGCTCCCACTCTTGGCCAATCCCAAAGCTCATAAATTATTCCTTTGACTTTCTTTGGGCGACTGACACCTTGAATTAATGTTAAGAGTTAAGTATCTGGTCAATTCAGGGATGTTGTTATCATTCCACAGCAGGTACCAGAACTCAGAACTAGGTGTCTGTGTGCCTGATCTCGTGATGTGAACCCGGAATCAAGAGCAGAGGGGGAGAGGGGACTGGGTCTGTGTTGGGCTTACAGGACATGTTCTCCAGGGTCTGAATCCCTGCCCAGCAGCTCACTGCAGCGCTGCCCTGAAACCAGAAATGCATCTAAGGACGGTACTTGGCCTTTACTGAAAAGGAGATGCATAGCCTAAGCCTTCGGACAGCCGAACAGGACCATGGAAAAGTCCTCTGGAACTGGAACTGTGTAATCCTGCCTGGGAAGCATCTAAAAGCACACTTCATCCCTCCTGGAACTTTTCCCTTAAAAAAATATTTTGTTAAAAAACACTATGATATGAGGGCGATTGACTATTTGGTTTCTTCTAAGTAGATGCTCTTAAATTAATGCATATAAATAATTTGTATTTAACTTCCTCCCTTCCTGTTCAGCAAAGCGTTGAACGCGCGGACCTCTCGCTTGCCCTCCCGCAGCCCCCAGGCGGAGTCACTTGGTGAGTACCGAGTCTCTCTGCGTGTCACTTTTGAGGACAAAGTGTGCCTCTCGCTCTGCCTTGGCCGTGGGGCTCATGGGCAGGAAGGCCGTGTTCTCGCTCGCACCGCCCCGCGCCTCCGCGCCCGCCAGCTCCGCGTCCTCCGCCCGCCGCGCGTCCGTCAGCATCCGGATCTGCTCCTGCACAGTTTCCAGCAAGACTTTCACCTCGTGCTGTTCTGCTATTAGACAATTACTGACTGGGGAACTCACGTTGACAAGTTCAGCAGAATAGGAGTTTTTGCACCATTTGATGCCTGTTACTTCAGGAACATTTTGCATTTGCATGCAGGCTTCGTCCAAGCCCACAGACGGGATGATGGGGACGGAGTTGGCCCTTGAAGAGGAATAGCTGACCAAGTCCTTCTGATCCACGTTATTAAAATATGGGGTTGTCTCTCTTGAAGGCAGTTGCATATTTATTGAAGGACTCTGAGGAGTTTTTAAACCACTGGATGAATACCTGGAAAGAGTGAAAAAAAGAGTTCTCGTTGTACATCAAGTGGTGAGAGCAACCAGCAGCAGGGACACTGTGTGAGATTCACTGAACTGTGCTGAAGAGATACACACCACTTTCTCCTGAAATAGAGGAGTACTTGGCTGTGGTGGGGCCCTGGGGAAGACAACAGGCTCTGGAGACTGGTTTGGATTCTCAAATCTGCCAGTGGCAAAGCACTGCTTTTCTCTCAGTCTCATTTCACCCACCATATATGAGAATAATGGAAATTTCTTTTTAAAACATTTCAGAAGTATTATACGTATATAACATAATATGTATTATATTTCAGAAGTAGTATAATGTATTATTAATTTTCTTTGAAAATAAATTTGGAATTCTATTCCTACATTTCTTACCAGGGAAATGGATTGATATTTCCTTCAGTGTCAGAACTCTCAATGTCAAACGGTTGCTTTAGGAAAACACTTTTAAAAAGTGCAGGGAAAAAGAACATTAAACACTCATGGTTGTGTAGTCTTTATTTACATAGGAATGATTGTCTGTACTCCCCTTCAAACAAGCAGAGCATTTAAGTGCACTGTACCTCTGAATAAATATTTTTTTTCGACAGCCCATACTTGTAATGCTGGCCTGATTTGTTTTATTGGATTTCAGCTGGAAATAGAGATAATATATAGGACTTGAGCAAATGTCTGTGTTCTCTTGATACTGTAATACTGTTTAAAAAACAAATCCTTTATCGTCCACTAACACACATTATAACATGATTTTAATGATTGTGAAGCGACTTAGTGAATTTGTATCAACATTTCCATTTTGTTTCAAAGCCAAACTCTGTTTTGTTTGAAAGAAATACTTAAAAAAAACAGAAATGGAAAGTATAATAAATATAAAATAAACAATGACCAAAGGAAAAAAAAAAGATGTTTCCCATCTGAAATTAGTACTTCTAGAAATGCTCTAGGAGTTACTGTATTACCAGTCATGGTTGCTAAGGACCACAGACATCACCTCAGTACCAGAACGTAATTTATTTATAATCAGCTTATCACTATTTAATAAGGCAAGGTAATGGTGAATCTAATATGTTTTGTCCATGAATGAGGAAAGCAACATTTAGATCTGGTGTGGAAGCAGGTGCTCTGACTTGAAGGGTGTTATTCCAAAAGTTCCTTAAGCCTGCTGGACCTCACTAGGAATATCCTTCCACTCATATGTGCCTCCTGCTTTTTGGGATGAGTGGAAAAAGAGTTAAGGAAGAGAAACTGAACGGCATGAAACTGCCGTGTCCAGCATTGGCACAACCAGGAATTAACTGGAAAGGCTTCCCCTGGCCCCATGCTCCTGGCCAGGTGTCAGACAGGAGGGAGCAGGAGACAACTGCAGGCTCCTTTCCAGCACAGTGCCACTGAGCTGTGATTAACTGCTGTGTGGTGGCACTGGGGTTGTACACGAGCTGCACACACGCCCTGCCCACGTGGAGCTGGCACATCCCGTACCAGGACTCTCCTGGCATCCCCAGGGCTGCATCTGGGAGCTCTGTGAGGAGGAGGAAGGGCTGGGAACTCTGCTGCCAGGTGAGGGAAAGAGATACTGCCTTGGGAAGTGGCACCCAGGGGAAAAATGGAGCAAGCAGCTTTCTGGGATGTGTGCTAGAACTTCCTGCGTGTGCTCTGCAGCTGTTTCACATCTGAGACTTGGTTAATGACATTGGCACTATGCTCAGACACACCTGCAGCCATTCATGGAGGGGCTTTCTACACCAGCTCTCAGGATGAATGAAATACTCATCAGGGGTGTTAATCCTGAGGGAGGACAATTAAAAAAAACAAATGAAAACAAAACAGTGCAGACCTTTGGGTTGTGCCCATTCTTGTTTCCTTTGCTTATATATAATTGTTCAAACGACTATAGCTGGAGAGATCGCATCAGTTGCATTAGTCCCTTTTTTGGTAATTCAGGCCCTAAATATATTCTGGGCTGCACCCTGAAAACAAAGGGAGTGAATGTTTTTAATGAATTTCACATGCAATGTAGGTATTATATGGATGATATATAAGCAAAACCAAGAAAAGACTGAATTAAAATGGGTTTGGTGAGAAAACAGTAACATTTGCCAATTCCACAATAGAGATTCTTGGGATTTTGAAAATTAACTGGCAGCAGCAGTGACATGTAACGAAATGCCTGGTGTATTTCCATAATATTTTTTTGAAATACAGATAGACATACCAATTTTATGCCAGAATAACACGTTTCTGCCCCTGCTCACAGGGCTTTCAAAGGAGAACTGAGGTTGTATTGAAGTGCATACACTGTGTGCAACAGGTGAGGTATTAAACTCGAAGGGATATTAAATCTAAACCATGTGAGACTTGGCTTTTAGTTAATTACAAACTGATCCATGCTTCTGTGTGTGACACCAGACTGCTGCTGTTTTCAATAGACTGAGACTTAGAACTATAATTGCAGAACCTTAATTACATTCTCCTATAATTAACTTTCCCAGAACCACAGTTCCTCCAAAGAAATATATCTGTGTTTTTATCTGAAAAAAAAATTTTTCTGAATAAATTAATTCATATGCATGTGTTTCAAAGTGCAGCTCTCTCTCCACCCCCTTCCTAAAACCAAGCAACGAAAGCAAACATTTATAAATATTTAACAGTAATTATGTTATAGAGTGTGTAAGAGTCCAAATTAAACAATGAAAGTGATAGAAGCACAATAATTTTACTGCCCCCTTTAAGAACAGATATCAAAGAGAGACAGAAGGGACTGAAACTTTAAATATGAAATGGATTTTACTTAGCACAGTCCCAGCAGCTTTGCTGTGAGCCCTGTGGCCACAGGTGTGCAGTGTAGAAGCCTGGCAGCAAGGTCCATTGAGATGGATGGGATCATTGCAGGGGCTCTGCCAGGCTCTGGGGCAGCCCTACACTGAACACACACACCCCCAGCCTCTGCAGGCCTGACTACACTTCAGCCAGGCTGCTGCTGGATGGAGTTCAGGATGCTCACAGAATCAGGGACACAAACCACTTGGATTTGTGCATCCCAACAGGGAAAGATGGAGGTGGAAAAAGAGAAGAAAGGAAGTAGTGTAATTTCTGCAAGGGACAAGGGAACTTTTTGTTTGGGCTGGAAATTTGATGAGAACACCAACACTGTGAAAGCAGCAGATATTTAGAGGGTGAATGTCCTTAGTGCACAAAATATAGATGAAGTGCTTCAGTGGATTGAGGCCAGAAGGGGTCACAGTCTGGTCCCAGTATCAAATTTTGCAGAACTGCAGATTCAAAATACAGGCCAGTACTGGCTGATACTTGTAAGGTCACACACTGATTTCCTAGACAAGAGTAAATACAATTACCCACAGCTTTTCTGTACCTCTCTCCTCAGCCTGGGAGGAGGCTATGGCACCTCCCTGAGCCTGCATCACACGATGCTGCTGCTGGAGAGGGAAGGCGGCCTGCTGCTCCTTTCTGCAAGCGTGGCAATTGCAATAGGAAATTTTCACCAGGAATTATATGCACATATCACACAAATGAACAATAATATTTTTACTGCAAGAGGCAATAAACAATATTTTTTCTCAGAAGCAAACAGTAACAATGACACAAGTGTGAGTCAAACTTGTTTAAAAGAAGTCACAGAACACCCGACCCCACCTGTTTCACCTGTAAGTAAGAGTGAAGGGTTTCACTGTGACTTACAAGTGAAACTGGGTGGGGTTTTTATTCTATTCCAGATAATATTCCTGTTTACATATAAAATATGCTTGTAATATTCTGGAAAGTCTTTGGAAATCTATAGGGATATGTAAATATTATGCAAAGTATCTCAGCAATTGCAAAGGACTTCAAAGGCAGCTGCAGGTTCTCAGGAGCACTTCTGAAACCCAGACCTTATGCACAGCTCAGCTCAGTGCTCTAATAAACTAAATTTAAAAGGGAAAGGAAAAGCAGCATACTTCTTTGTGCATTTTTGAAGACAAACCTGTATGAAGGTATCTACAGCAAACCAACTGTGCAATGTGCATTATTTCATTTCAAAGCCCCTAAGTTGGCTTCACTCACCCGTGACAAGGTATGGTGTCCTGGTCGGTGATCCTGGACTCCTGGAGCTGCTGATACGCTGGTCCTGCAATCCCATTGAACCTACCCCGAGGCAAGGGAGGAGTCCTGCGAAAGGCATTTCTGTGCAGCATCCCACTTCTCTGTCCTGGGCTGCAGCATGAAGAGAGACTTCTAGGAACAACACCAAGAACACAGTAAAAGTTATCACACCGAAAGCATAAAATTCTGCAAAGTAAAGGTTCGGGATTAATAATGCATGGATTAGTGTTCTTATAAACTTTGCTGTGGCAGTCTTGGATGTCAGTAGCGATTCTCAAAGGAAATATAATAGCACAATCTGCCATTAGCTGCTGTTTATGCCATTATTTAATACATCACCTCTTTTCTAGGAATGAAAATAATTGCCCACTATATGAAATGTTTTCTTGCACTTGATGAAGGATGCTTCTCCTTCCCATGGTGCATATCATAATCCTGCTATAGAGAGTTGAGTCCTCAGACAGCATAAACAAACAATACAGCTCTCTCATACCCACAGCTGAATTCAAAATGAGATTCTAACCTGAAAGTCCAATATATTATCTATCATCCTGTGAGGTGCTGCTTCCTGATACAAAGCCATTAAATTGAGAAAAAGTGTAAGTGAAGAATATAAGCAAAGCTGATGAACTGCAGATTGAAGAAGCTAAGACAAGTTTTCTCCACCTTGAAGAGTATTTCTGTATTATTTTATTCCTGTTTTATATACAGATTGCTTTGTTGTTTATATACATTGATACCATGCTATTTCTTTATATGATATAATAGAAACTTGAACTTGATAAAAACAAGTCATAGTTTTCTACTTATTTTAGAAAATTGGTTTTGTAAATGTCTGCTGTTTTGGAAGGATATTGGATTTTTTTTTCATTTCACACAGGAATGAAAAAGTATCTGGAACCCACAGTTTTGCTATATAAACCATACATTTGCTAATGCAAAAATATGGGAACGCAGAGCTAAGGGAAGGCATAACCCATTTTTAATGCTAACAGGTCTCAGTACTGCATGGCGTGACTGAATATTCATTTTTCAGCTACTCTATTTCTCTTGGCATCTTCTGGGTCTCAGAAATGCATGTGTTACCTCATATTCTCTTACATCTTTAATGACAACTTCACATAGGTTTTCTAGATGCCTTTTACGAGTCATTATTTTTGGCTGTGTGAATAATTCCAACTTGTGACAGAATTCAGCAATGCAAAAGACATTTGATAAGTTTGCTTCTTTTTTTCCTATTATAATGTGACTTAAGAATAATCTGAATTTTTTTTACCTAGTGGGAACTTTAATTACAGTTAGGGCCACATCTACTCCCAGAGCAATTCTTTCTTGGAACAAGCACGTTGGACAAATTCTCTTGGAGTGTACATTTCCATTAAAATCCACATTTTCTGCCCAAAATTAAAAGAAGAAATAAATTCAACACTCTCTATCCTACTGCTCAGGCTAGCAGTGTTCCACTGCAGTCTAACCTCTGTTTTCTTCCACACCTTTACTTTCTTAGTGCTTTCTATTGAAAAGACCAACAACCCATAGCAATAACATTCCTTCCAGGATTTTTCATGCTTGCTTAAAAAGATTTTTCCTTTGCTACTACGGAGGCTGTGAAAAAACCTTTTTAAAAACCTGAAATACTGGCCTCTCAGTTCTGAAGGCTGAGTTTGAGTTGCAAGTTACAGTTCCTACTCTGTAAAATAACACTACCCCACCACAAAATAATTGACAATTTATGCTCAGGAGAGCCTGAGATTAATACAGCAGGGGATCTGAAAAGATGCAGGTGAATTAACAATTTGTGCTTGATAATGAATTTTTGGGGGTTTTATTGACCTGAGCGTAGTCATCAATGGAAACCAAAAGGAAAAAACAAACTTTGGATTGGTTACAAATCTTTAAAATTAGAAACTTTTATTGTTTAATTTGTGGTTGGTTTGATGCCTTTGAGCATCTTCCTTGTTGGATGAGAGTACATGATCTCCATATGCAAATTCACAAAAGCTCTATTTGTAATAATTTCAATATGTACAGCTATACCTAAGGTAACGGGTATAAACTGCAGAAATGCTGAGACCAAAGGGGGTCCTGCAACCACAGAACTTCCAGCCCTGACATAGTCTAATTTGTTGCTAATGTGAGGTTCTTATGCTTTCAACATTTCTGCTAGAAAAAAACCCAACACAAAACAAAACAAAACCAAAGGAAGAATGAACAAAAATCATTTGAGGTAATGGACAAAAAAAATTCATTAAGATCAGGAAATACTTACAGACAGTGCAGCTGCAAGCTGCAGGATAACAGTTGTTTCTCCAGGCACCAAAAAACCCCCTAAGAATTTCTGTTAAAAGTTCTATGGAAAAGGATCTTCAGCACAAAGCTTTTTCTTTTACACAAAGTTGGTATGAATATCAGCAATGAAAATGCAATGTCCCTCTCAGACATCTCTATCACTCATTTGAAAAATTCCTCCCTCTCAGGCCAACAATGGTTTTTGGATTTCTTCAGGGAATTTGTTTTCCTTTAGCCAACATTGTGGTTTCCTCCTCCCTGCACTCCAGTCTAACTGGGTAAAAGAAACCAGCCCACATAAGTGAGCCATTCAATAAAACAGACCAATACATAAAGCTGTAGCAAATACGTCCTTAAAATCTATCAATCAATTACTCCAGAATAAAAAAATCAGAACATGCATGAAATGGTTCACAAGTGATGCACAAACTAGAGAAAAATGCAGTTCTGATGATTTAATGTTTTGAAAAAAGCAGTTCAACCGTCCTAAGATTAAGGAAGAATTTGGGATTTATTCTTGTCAGTTTTTTTGTGTGAGAATTTTCTTTGGGTTGAGCAACTGAATAAAAACGAAGTCTGATCCTACAGGTGAAGTATTCTCTTCTTGGGGCACATACACAACTCCCAAATGCAGTTGCCCATGTTCATGAAGAGATGACCAGTTTTTACAGTAACTCTGGGATCCTTCTGTACTACTTCTGAATTAACTACAAACCACCCAGCAAATACTATGACTAAGCCAGCTGCCAGGCAATATCCTCTGATATTCCCTCAGAGCCACCTTTTTAGGTTGTTAGACAATCTACTGCTAACATTTGCATGGATCAACTACTGAGACTTTCAGCTGATTTCAGTATTAATAAATACAGTCTACAGCTACAAATCTCCTCCTGGTTTCTGAAATGTGACCATTATTGATTCCCTCATGACATTCTTGTATTTGGAAAAGTCTGTTTTGAGGTTACTCAGGGACTTTGGAACTCGATGAAAATCCTTCAATGCTACCTGTGCCATCTGGTCACCATCCTGGTGATAGAACAATGGAAAAGGGAACAGAGTATTCAAGGTATGTCAGATGCACTGAATTTAATCATCTGCCATAACCTCATCATACACTTCCTGTAGTGCACTGATCAACCTCCATCCTGAACTGATGATCATATCCAGGCTACTATTACAGAAAGTTGTTCTATATTGCGAACTTTGAGACTTCTTTTCAGTTCAAAATTAATTCTGATGAATATTCAGCAGGTACATGTGCCACTCCTTCCTTTTATTTAGGTCTTTTACTTCTCATTGTGCTTGCTCTCATGTATTCATAAGCAGCAATCTTTCCAGTCCTTTCTACACCCTTTCCAGCCTCCTGAAGACTGACATAAGACAGACTTGTAACACTTTCCATGGAACATGAATCATTCATTCCTCATCTTGGCTTGGGAAGGCAGTGTGAGTCCATGGCAATTGGGAGGCCATTTCAGCCAGGTGAGATAACAGTGGTGCATTCTCACACTATACTGTGTTCCAGGTCTGTTCAGTGACCTTGGCACAAAAATGTCTGTCCCCAGTGTTGACTAATTCTTTGAGTGCTGCACTGGTGAATGTCCTCCCTTCTCAACACAAGTCCTTAACATCTGACTTTTAAGCACGTCTGTGCATGCACAATAGAGTTTTCTGCCTCTCCCCTTAAAAGCATCAGACACATGACAGCAGTGACTGAGCTTCTGTGGAGAGCTAACTCACCCCCACCAAACACAAATGCAATCATCAGCGCAGTATCTGATCCTATGTTGCAGTACCTGCTGTTGGTAAGATAGCAAACCATTTTTTGCCTTTTTTATATCTACCGCAAGAATCTTCTTCCCCCACATTTATCCTAAAATCTTGACTATTCAAATTCAGCATAATTGGTTCCTACTTTGATAAATTCTTCATCTTCCTAAATATTTGACACTTGCTAATCCATCATCTCATGTCACAGTCCCCATTTTTATAGATTTTGCTTCCAGACATGAAATTTTGTTCTTCCAATTTTTTTTTGGATCAAGATTAACCAAACTATCTTGAGAGCTTTGATTTCCACATTTTACTTCCACTTTGACTGTAGGAATGTCTATTTTCATACATTTGGTTCTGCTCATATTCAACCTTTGTCCTCAAACAGTCATCCCAACTTTCCAATAAAAAATGAAATCTATTCATTCAGGATTTCCCTAACTGCTTCAATTATTATCTCTGTCCCACCATCTGTTTTGCTTTTTCTTTGGGAAAAGAGCAGATTCCTTACACCTTCTTCCTTTCAGGCTTCCTCTGCCTTTACATTCCTAGTTGCTTTAGTTTATCTATACTTGCTCTTTGAAATTCAATAGCCTTATTTACAGAATAATTTACTCTTTCCTCTACTGTAAACTGAATCACTTATATTAGCAGCATAAAGAGTAAAATGCTTACCAAGTGAAAAAAAATCTTTTCCATGTTTTTTGTGGTGTGAAAAGTTCATTAAAAATGAAAACACAAATTATTATTAATTTTAGGGTAAGTTTATCCTATTTTGGCATTTTTGTAAGACAATACAACTGCTCCAGGCTGAAAGCCTCTGCATTTGGCTTTCATCATGGCATTCTCTGAAATGAATCCCTCTAAAATCAAGGATGACTGCATCCATGAATGAAAGTCAGGATGACTAATTACCAAGGAAACTGCTATTCAAAGGGATCACAACTCAACCCATAATTAACAAAACTCTAATTTATTTCTATCAGAAAATAAGGCAGTATGGGTTTCCTTCTTACCAAGACCAACAGATCATCCAAGACAAATTTTTGAGCACATTGTATACGTTGCAGGAAGTTTACTGATTAAACACATTTGTTAATTTTGAATTCTGACTGTTCTAAGAGTTATTTTACATATGCAAGCAGAAGATGTAACATTCTTCTATAGTAACAGCAGTGCACAATGCAGGCAAAATATTTTAGGAGATTAATGATAACACAGGCTAAATATTTTTTGAGATTAAATTTCAGTTTTCAACCTAATCTCTGCATTAATTCTTTTTGTGTAGCTGAGGTTTGTTGAAACGGAAAGTTGCTATTATCCATAATCTGAGTGAAATAATTAGTCAGTCTCTGTCAGTCTCATTTCAACAACTCCAAATGATTCCCTACACCAACAGTCATACTTCCAGGCCAAAATTTACTAGTTTCAGGACCTGGTAGCAGCCAGCTCCTGATTTTAAGAAATGATCACCCATCATTAGTGTCCTTGAAAACACCAGCAGAGAAAACAGGTCTGGATGTAGAGCAAAGCACTTCTGCAGCAAGCAGAAATAAAACAACAATAGAATTTAGAACAGCACAAAAGAGAGAACCTGCAGAGCGGATATACTTTTTCCAGGCTCAGTCAGGTTTGGAATGAAATGAACAGATATTTGGTACAAAATCCTCATTTGACCACGTTTGACTATTTGTCCACAGTGAGCACTATTTAGAAAATAAATTAGGAAGCTGTTACATGGCACATAAATTAAAGACAGTCTTGTAAGTCTTAAACGTTCAAGTCTGTTGACTTTTTATAAAACAAGGACCTTGTACAATAAATTGTAAGCTTTAAAACTGCAAACCAATTCTTTATAAATTAACTAGTCATCCCACTTACAATAGTTCCAAAGCAAAGCCATTTCTTGGACATTACAATCACACTATTAAAAGGTAAGGGAATGAGTTTTTTCCTGAACTTCATGTTGTGACTAAATGGTGATAAAATTTTTCCCAGAACTTCTGTAGAAAGCATTCTAGGAAACAGCCCCATAGTTCATCTATTCTTAATAAAATTATTAAGCATGTTTTGAAGATTTCTGTGTAATAAGGAAAAAGACCTAAGAAATGGATCTGACATGACAACTGGCATTATTTTTTTTTCATGCCAAATTAAAGGTTTAAGTAAGGTAAAAGTAGATAGAATCCAAATATCCCTTTCTGGTTTATGTGTGGCACTTTGTACGTTAAGCAGATCACTTATTCAAATGAGAAAAAAACCACGTAGCTGGCTGGGAGACTGCACTGAAAATGCACCAAATACTACAGAAGCCAGATCATAACCTCATGCAATCCCAGACTTTTTCTAAAGTAATTAAAAAGGAAAATCCTTTTAATAAACATGTCTTCCATTCCAGATTATCTACCTGAAAAAATTCCAAACTCATTTTTCTCAGCCTTTTTCTCTCTCTCTGTGCACTGGACCAGATGTTACCACTGTCATACCACCAACATTATTGCTTGTATCAGACTCCAGTTTGATTTCTAGTCCTGTAATGAAGCACCTGCAATCTTTCTCATCCAAAAACATGTTAGAAGCAGAATTCTAATCTGAATCTCATCCAGCGATGGGTGACATTCCTCTTTTTTTTTCCTCTGGGAAACAACCATCTAAACTTTTTTAAGCCTCATTTTCAAAGGCCACCATGTTTTCATAACTAAGTCATTATTCATTTCATGTGTCTTTTGTTTAAAGAAACTCTAAAAAGGGCTGGAAGTTTGCAACCAAGTCTTTCTGCAGCAATGAGTCATTAACTTCATGAACATTGATAAGTAAAGTCTTGTTTTTAATGGTTCCTCCTCCTCCAGCTGCTCCACTGGCTGGGCTGTGCCTGCAGCTCGGATGGTGCCTGCAAATGCTTCCTGCAGGACTGGCACAACCCACAGAGGAAGGCAGTGAGCATCCCCACTACCTTTTATGTCTGCAGGTAAGAAAATGCTTGGACATCTGGTTAACAAGCTGGCTGAGGCTGTGCTGGGCACTGAGCAGCTCACCCAGAGCCAGCACAGCACAACCCTGCACATGGATCATCAGCAGCTCTGCAGCCTCCCAGGCTGCTCTCACAGACAGATGTTTGCTCACCTGTGGTGCTTGATGGGCTGGGTTCCTCTGTCAGGAGACAAGGCCTCTGGGAAAGACTGGGGGCCTGAAAAACTAGACTCCATAACTTTGTGCAGAATGGGCCCCGGGTGCCTATCTGGCTTTGAATACTGCGGCAGAGAGAATAAAATTAATTAATACTCACAAGACAAAGTACATTGTTGATGCTATTCACTCTGAATTCATATCAGAGATGGATAAGAAGTGCTCTAGTGCATTTTAAAATCAGAATTAGGCATTGCAAGTAACACATTCATTCAGTATTGTTTACACAGCAGAAAGGGCTAGCAACCATTACCCCCATTACGTTCTGCACATCAAAACACTGATATCAGCCATAGCAGCAAAATTACAGACTGATCTGCCCACAATGATGGGAACAATGATCCCTTTGACTAGAAGTCTGTTTTTGTGGCTGTCCATGCAGAGACAGATCACAAAACACATCTCAGAGGACAGCCAGCAACTTCTTGGGTCCTTTGGTGATTTCAGTCAAACACTGCATTCATCATCAGCATGTACAACTATGAAAACCAAACTGAAACGGCACTTGTGTCATCAGATAAGTTAGAAAAGTATTTGAATCCCATCCACAGAGCCAGATATCTCTCTGAACCAGTCTGAAACTTTTGACCTGGGAGTATCTGTGCTAGTAAGAACAGTGTAAACATAATTCTTCTTGTGGCAGGAGTGGGCGTAGGGCAGTCTCTGGGCACAGAGTGAGACACAAAGGTCTGCAAAGCAGACACTAGACACGAAGAACAGATTTGTTCTTTTTGCTTTGTGATTCAACTGCAATTTCAAAAAAAAAAAAAAAAAAAGTCTCCCAACCGCTATGGAGCCATAAAGTTGAAGTATAGAGAAAGCTGCACTAAAAAAGCTGCACTTTGGCTTACCAGAAGATTCCATGTTGTTGGTGGTCACTGGGCAATATCTCAGAGATATGAGCGGGTAACTCACATTTCCACTCAGGTGTGAAAAATAAAGCCCTTTTCAGACTTACTTTTTACTTTGCATTACAAGGACCTTCACTAAAACTAATAGGCCTGTTTTCCTTTTGCTTTTTATTTTTCGTACTAGACACCTAGATGTCCATGCTATCTTTAAAATAAATTTGTATCGTGGCAGCAATTACATGATGACATATTTTAGAAAGAAAATACAAATTAAAATATTAGTGAAAAAAATCACAGTGGTGAAAAATGTTTGTTATGATACAATAGCACAAAAATTCATGGAGAGGATAGTAAGCATCCTTTCAAAAGACAGTTCTTCATAATTATTAGTTTTGTCTAACAAAAGACCAGTAACTCATTAAAACAACAGACGGTTATTTTCTGACTCTCACTTATTCTTATCTACATTTCTGTAGACTTCAGCAAGATCAAAAAGCAAAGTCATACAGGAATATTCCCTTTTAAAAATAGGTTACATGTACTTTTAGTCCAGCCAGTCACACTTCTTATGATCAATTTCTATAGATAAAGGAACAGTTCTTCAAATTTTTCTCCACTGCTCCTCTCCTTCTTTGTGTTGAGTGAAATACCCATGTTAAACACAAAATCATTGTTTTTCTGCTTCTGAAGGCAAAGCTGTGAGTGGCAATATGCAAAAATGATGCTGCATGCATGAAGCAAACACAACTGAAATAATAAGAAGAAACATATTCCACTCCCATTACTTTCAGTTACCATGATCTTAGATGACACTTGTAAATGTTGTAGATAAAATATTCAGACAGAAATATGATTTTTAAGGTACTCGCATCAGTGAAGGTTTTAAACTTTAATAGTTCTCTTGCCAGCTGCAGAAATGAAACTGGCTTTGATTTCTGACCTGAATAAATCAATTTGAGCTATGTAAAGAATGGCTTGCTAGTGCCAAGAAGCTATTTCTGTCATTTTTTTGAGTTTGTTCATGGTACAACACTGAAGGCCTGAATGGCCCACAAGACCAACAGTAAGAAGTACATCATGAAGAGCAGAGATAAGCTCTGCATTTTGCTACATCCTTGTTTCAGGTGGATGTGGGCTGGAGCAGTGGTACACAGAGACTTTGCTCAGCACACCAGAAGCTGCTCTGATGCTGACCAGCAAATTTTAATGAAGGAAGGACCAGAACCCAGCACCACTCAGGCACAGCCTACAAAAGGTATTTTTCCCCCAACTGAACATTTTTTCCCCTTTTCAGATACGCCACTTAATGCACAGTCATAACATTCACTACAATGAAAATGTAAATTAGTTTAAATTGAGGGTGTTAATATACAGGGAATTTTAACAATGTAATAGAACAGATCTGGATGCACCACATTATTACTACATTTTAATATATTTAAACACAGTTGGGTTTATTCTCCTTTAGCTTAACTCCAAGTGCCACATCCATTCTCTAAGATCACCTCTGGAGGAAAACACCTTCATACTCTTGTGAAGAGCTTAGAGCAGCACCAGCTGGTGCCCCAGGAGGACAACATGGGATCATTCCCCACCTAAAATCCAGCAGGGCTCATCCTGCTGCTCTCACAGCACACCTCTCACCTGGGCTGAGCTCCTTGGAAGCCTCTGACTGCTGTGAGCTGCTGCATGCTCAGCCATGAGGGAGAATAAGCTGTGAAACCCTTTCAAAGGCCTGTTCCAGTAGGCTGAAAGCATCACTGAAAGCTTATCTGTATCTGGGTTTTTTTAATGGTTTTTCTTGCCTTCTTGGTTAATTATCTGTTCTTGTTTGAGCAATTACTGAAAAACATTGAGGCATATGGCTAAATAAATTAAAGAATAATGATTGCTTAAAAAAAAATCGCAAAAATTTTCATTTTTCATTGTTTCATGGAGAAAATAATCTATTATGCGCAATTACTCAACTCTCTGACAATAAAAATTCCACCCCCTGCTAGTTAATGCTAAGTGAATCTGTGAAGGCAGCCTGAGCCAGGAGACAAGAAATCAGCCTTTGCCACTGACCTGCTGCATTGCTGGGAGCACACAGCTCCTCTGCTCTATGCCTTGAATTCCCTGCTCTGAAATGTGGGGCTCAGGGATAACAAATGCCACTGGAATGCTCCAGAGCAGCTTGACACTGCTGTCCTGGTGCTATGCAAACCAAACACCCATCCCTCCCTGGGCTATGGTGCTATGCAAACCAAACCACCCATCCTTCCCTGGGCTTTACTCAGCTCCTCCCCTCAGTGATTCCCCCAAAATAGTGAAAGGTCCAGAAATTCATGTGGCACTGGAAGAGAGGTGATGTGGGGATCCCATTTCAGAAAGAACTGAGAAGCAGAGGGGTCAGCTTGAAATGACACTCAGAGAGGTTGTCTCAAGGAGGAAAAGAGCCAGAGATTTTTCTGAGTGGGCTGAAATGGCACAGAAGCTCATCAGGTGATACAGGTAGGATTTAATATCCTTACTGTTCCCCTATGTTTTGTTGTATGTTCTGTTGCCAACACTGCCTCTAGACAGAGGACAGTAAATTCAGGTTTGTCTATTCTGGCAGTTCTTCCTAAGTAGCTGTGTGATACAGAAATGGGAAATCTGCTCTTGATCTCAGCTGATAAATCAAATGGCAATCCATGTAAACCCACAGAGTAATCCTTTAAAAGTATCTCTTTCTTGACATATATTAATTGCATGTCTATCACAGTGAATGGAAAGATTTTATTTCCTACTACTATGAACAAAAGGCAACAAGATGCAAAAGAAACATTTTTTTGTCCCTTGTTATAAGAATTTCAGAAACCTTGAGCTAATGGTTGGAAGCTTCTAGAAACAAGTGTAGTGAAAATTGAAACCACACAGAACAGCATGAAAAGCATATTAACCAGCTCAGAGGGACAGTGATGGGAAATTAATAGATCCCTTTGGTACCATGGGAGAAGGTATTAAAAACCACAAGGATGAAAAAGGCCACTTTAAAAAGCCATGACAATTCTCAGAATCACTAAAGGAATGTCAAGGTTTCAGCTGATCTTTTAATTTTTTTTTTTCCATGACTTATTTACCAAGTTGTGAGAATTCAAAAAGAAACCCTTGACTTTATGTGGCTCCTGTAGGAATCAGGAGCCACCCCAGCTCCTCCTGCCACCTGTGTGAAGGTGCCCCAAGCACTTGTCTTTCTAGACAGGGAGAATGACAATTTCCTTCCTTTTGATTACATGGAGACCTAACTGTTCGCTGCAGTCCTTTAAATATCTCTTGAAAGGAGGATGATCTCTTTGGGAAGGGGTACATAATACTTTAGAAGCTCTAGGCTTTATGTATTAGGTGAAATTAATCTCAATCTCCTGTGTACCTCAAAGATCCTGGATTAAAAACTGGCACATCTCCTCCTGGCTGAGGAATTATAGCAAGATTACCAGTGCATTAGTCTTTAAATCCAAGAGGCTAGAAACCCTAGCAAGAACCACCCAGCAAGAATTTAAGTGTGTTGCTGCCAGAATGTTTTGGAAAAGCAGTGGACTTGGAGGAGATTCAGGAAATCCTAGGAGCTGTGTTCAAACAGATATTTATGAATCCTTCTTACAGTACACAGTATTTTTCATCTAATTTGTACCTCTAAGAAAATACTGAAATTGCTACTGAGGATGGGACAGGTGAGCACAATTACCAGTGATGAGCAGCAGGACTTCAGAGAGAACATAGCTCTCCTGTTCCCACAAAATCCACCCCTTTATTTCACGTTTCAGAATCACAAGTGAGCAGAGGCAGAGAGTGGAGGAGATGTAATACACTTGAGTATAGGAGGAAAAATTACTGCACTGAGATTGGTCAAGCTCTTTATAGCCACAAACCTCTTGCAACCTTGTCTGCTGCACCCTGGGCCTTGGGAAATAAGTTAAAGCTCCTTCTAAAGCAACACATTTGGAAAAATAGATGGGCCCTTTACTAAATATAGCAACCTCTCAGTCAAAAGGTGATGGTTCTTTCAGAATAGTCATCAAGAATAAGGAACCTTATGCAGCTTTTCTCAGGTCTCCACAAAAGCATTCTGCTCTGCACAAGAGAGAGCTGTGTGAAAAGCCTGAAAGCATCACCAGGTCTATTCAAAAGAGACAAGCGAAAAATCTGGGATAATCTTCTAGGGAAAGACAGAAAGGGGGAAAAAATGGGAAAACTGTCTTGCTTGTAGGAGGAGCACATGGAGTGGGAAAAGAAAACTTCCAGGATGACCTAAACTACAACGCCAGACTGGAGGAGTAGCCTCCAGAAAGTAACTGCCCTCATTTATTTAAGTTTATTCACTAGCTCCTGGCAATGGAGAGAACCAGGATTTCTCCCCAGGCCCAGGCAGTGGCAGCTGCAGATGGGAATCCCATCCAGGCTGCCTGCTGCCCTTTCCACCCAGCACATACACCCCAGGCAGATCTCTGGCCTCTCAGGGGGAGTCACACAGCCATTCCTACAAAACACCTTCCCAAAGCCCTGCAGCCTCACCAAACCCCTGCCCTTTTCCCCCTCCAACCTGGCAAGTTCTGTAAATATTTCACGAACTGCCTGCATGCATTCCTGCACTCAAATCTTCCTAACAACAGAAACTGTTATTACACTGTTACACTGCATCCTGCACAAGGTCATTCTGTTTTCCTTCCTTCCTATCTTCCCAAAGGGAGAATGCATTAATGGCAAGGAGAAAACAGTTGCCTGTAAACAGCCACAAGGACAAGAAAATGGTGTGTTAATTACCAGCACTCATAATGTCAGGCTGAACAGAAATAAAAACTGAAAATAAAATTTGGATTAAAATAGTAAATATAAGGATGGTGTTCAATCTCTGTGCCCAGAATGCATGAACTGCTATTTCAGCCATTATGGCTATGGCTGTGGCAAAAGAAAATGACAAAATATTGCACTGAATTACAGTGAGAAAATGCCAAAGAGCATTTCTTAGTGTTAACCAAGGCTTATTTCATAGGATAGAACAAAAGGATCTTGAACTTTACCTTTTGCTGCCATCATTACAACCAACAACACTCCCACCAGCTCTTTTGTTTAGGGGTTAGAAATAAGGCTGAATGAACTGAAAGTGAGAGAAAAAATTGCACAAGGTTCCCCAAATTGCGATTATGTCAATTTAGTTGAGCTATCTTCCTTCTTGGAAGAGTGTATTTTTCCTGAATTACAAAGGATATCATGAGCATAGGGGCACCACAATGGCGAATACAAAACTTTTAGTGAATACAAGCAATGTTCTCACAGCCTCTCTGTCTTAGCAGGGAGGCTCTGCTTACTCTAAATTGGTTAAAAGGGCTTACATTTATCTCTAAATTAATTGGATGTGAACTAGAAGTTCAGAAGTCTTTGGATAAGTGGGCATGAGTGCTCACTTTTGCTAAATTCCCACTGTTTTGATGGAATCTGGCAAATAAGGAAGTTATTCCTTTAAGCAACACTAAGATACTCTTTTTTTAAAAAAAGAAATTAATAATTTAGAAAGGTTTTATATATCTTTTATATTTTCCTATTATATTGCTTACCAGGATCCTTCTTCCAAAGGCTTTGTTCAAAGTAAGACAGCACTGATTGTGTGTGAGCAGGGGAAAGAGAATGACATACACTGGAAAATATCTTCCTAAAAAAATACCAGGGCTAAATAAATTGGTTGTCTTCAAGTTCCTTATTTCAAACACGCTTTACATATTTCATGATTGTGAGACTGTAATGACTTACATATAATTACATTCAGAAAATGATTAAATATATTTCAAATTTAGTTTGAAAAGACTAATTTCTTTCTGTAAACCAAAGTACCTTTAAATAAAGACCCAGAAAAATGAGACCATCTGCACGGTCTTCCCTTGGGCATTTGTTTACATTTGTAAATTTAGTTCTAGATCTTGAATTCACTCTGAATTAACTGTGACAAATTCCTGTGTTTTTTTCCTGCAGGTTCATAAATTATTGGAAGGTGTGACATCACTTAAGTTCAAGGACCTTCACTACACATACAGACAGGTATGAGCATTGCAGGAAAATATAACAGTAATTTCCACTGCTGAATACAGAGCTGGGGGGTTCAGCAAAGCCTGCCACATGAACAAAATGTACCAGGATCCATAGAAATAACTTTAGAAAAAAATCCCTGCTTTCCTTTAAGAGGCCTGATAGAAAACATTTTATGAAAGGGGTGAGAATTGTGGTTCCCATTGCTCAGATGTTAATAGCAGCATGACGATGTGCTGCCATCAGCAGCAGGAACTCAGCCAGGCTATTAAGTGCTGTAGCTGGCAGGATTACTTACATTTTGCAGCTGGACTTGGCTTTGTGCCATACACTCTGACTTTGCCATCATGCTGGAAGCATTTAGGCTGTAGGTTTTCCTATTCTGTGTTTCTTTCAGCTGTTCGTGGATCTGCTTGGTTTGCTTCCTGCAGAGAGGAATAAAATCCATGTAAGAAAGAGCTCACTTGATCTTCTGCTAGAGCCATGATACTTTCATAGCCACAGCTCCCTTTGTTCAAAACTTCACCCTGCTAGCCAGCTGAGCTGATTCACTGATGTCTGATATTCCAGTGCAGCCGTTGTTTCCTGGCAAGGCTTAACAAAGGGGACAAAAACCTCTCTCTTGCGTTTTAAAATACCTTCTATTCTCAGATCACTAGAATAGTATGCTCGTTGTGCTGGTGCAGGGTTTTGTAAGATCATCTATTGCACATTTAACAATAGCTTGCGAGTCAGTGTGAATAATAAAAAAGCATTTTGCTCAGATTTGGGAAAAGGGTTTTGGCAAATAAAACTGGCATTAGCCCCTGCTGGCCATAAAAATTGATGAAGAATCAAAGATTTCTGCTGGCTGATTAGACTTGACCTATAACACATCTTATATTGAGCAGCTTCTGCTTATATGCTGAAACCTGGAAAAAATGTCAGTATGGCCACTGAGAATGCGTTTTTGAGTTATTATACTACAATCCACCCTGTCAGAGCTAGGAATACCACTGGATGAATCCCTTGCATTATTCAGGAGATAACTGCACTGTTAACAAAGACTTTCTCTTTCTCTGTTTCTGCCACACTGTATTGAGTGGAAGTGACAAACCGTTTTTTAAGTTCTGTACATGAAAGAGGATATGAGACAGCAAACTTTAAATATGACTTTTATCTTCTGCAAAAAGTTATCTGAGCTGGGCAAAAACTGTTAGCAAAATACATTTAAGCTCTTTTATCAGTTTTTTTTTTTTTTTTTTTGATAAGCTACATTGTCTGGAACTATCAGCTTTAAACAATGATGAGCAAAAACTTCACAATCCCATTTTAATTCTTTCCTTCCCTGCTTTCTTTCTCTCTCCAGAAGATGCATCTCCAGCAGTGAACCTACAATGGCCTTGAAAACAACCCAGCAATGTCAAGGACTCACCAGCAGCAGCATTTCATTATACCACCAGCAGGTTTTGGACAGCAACTGGTGCTGAGCCAAATTTCCAAAGGAAGTGATTTCTGGCAAGTATTTGTAAGAGATAAATAAAATACGGCCTTTCTATAGTGAAATTTGAATTTTAGCAAAGCAGCTTCAGCAGCATTTTGAAAAATTTCTGGTGATTTGATTTTGGAAACCCTTGTGATATCATTAAGCTTGATAGAGTCTTGTGTCAGATAGTGAATTTGACACTGAATGAAGTATAAAATTAATCTGAATTTCTTATTCACAGTGGAATCTCTTGTCTAGTGCTGCAAGATATAAGAAAGCAGAGGAAAATGAATTAGTTACGTGTTCAGTGGAGGGGCCTGTGAGAGAGGACACTTCCCTCAAAATGAAAGTAAGTGGTGAGAAGTATCACAATTCTCAATTGTTAAGATATTCAATTGTCAAGACATTCAATTTTAATAACATACTTTCAATATTTTTTGAGTCCTTTAGCTTTGGTTCAGTGTGACACAATGTAAGCATTTGCTTAAATTCAACAATTTGTAAGTACCTGCTTAGAAGTATTTGTTACAGCTTGTTTGCTGAGTACAGGTCACAAGCCATAACAAATGCAGGACTCTGAGCACCTCTTAGGCTTTCTACTTGCATCCTATTTTGAAACAAATGGAAAAGAATGAATTTATATTGTAACCATGACACAAATATGAGTGGCATGTTTTGAGTATTGCTAGGAGCTCATAATTAATAAAATCTATGAATAGAGAGGTAGGAAATAGGAAATAATTTCTCAAAATAATTTCACAAAAATGTTCAAGATTTTCTTTAGCCAAAACTGGTAGAATTAATATTAGAATAATCTGAATAGATATATAATCTAAATGAATGTAGCGTCAAATTAAATTAATCAGCTGAGTCTGAAACATCTCTTTTAAAAATGTTTTTAATATCCACTAATTTTTGAATCTAAAAAAATTTGAACAATTTCATTTGTAAAATGTCAAAATGAGCTCTTCAGCTTCTCATAAAATTCCAAGGGAGATTCATAACAGCAACTTTAGTGTTTTTAAGAACTACTATTTTCTGACTGGCTAAATTACATCCACTGAGGAAATTAGCACATCTGTTCCTATGTCCTACTGGAGAACCAGCCTCTTGCTTGGTCTCCAGAACGGTTATGGAATATTCAGGAATTTTTTGCATGACTTTATGTAAGGCATGAACAATGAGAGCGAAAAATGATCAAAGCATCAGATTTTGGGAGCCTCTCATAAACATACAAAATGATAATTTAATCAGGAAAATTACAAAACAATTTTTGGATTTATTTATAAAAATTAATAGAGTTGTTTCGATATTTATAAACACATGTAAGTAAACTGCAAAAATTCAGCCTCATTACTGCAGTCTTTAACATTACAACTGAAATTCCTGAAGGTAATTTGCTGAGAAAAACAATCCAATCATTAATTTCCTTTTATGTTCATGCAACCTAACATTAATATCAGGTTTATGCATATTCATTTGGGCAAACTATAGGATGCACAGCTATAAAACTAGAAATCATTAATAATTCAAAGTTACTTGCTGATTAATAAATTTATTTTATAAGTTTTGTTTTCAAAACAAATGGGCCTTATGCGTTCTACTTTAGAGTTACTTGGCAATGAAGTGTTCTTACTTCAGCAAGAAATAAAGTCACTAGTCATTTGTAAAAGTCTAAGCTGTAAAGGGCAGCCCATTACTGTACTCTTCATCTGTTGCTAACACTTCCAGCCTTTTCTTGATTAACCTAAAAGGAATAATTGGAAGGGCACAGAGTTTAATTATAGTCCTAAACTTTCTCAGATTGAGTCTATTTTAAAAAAGGACTTTTAATTCAATGGCTTATAGGGAAGTGCCTATTTCTAGTAGCTGGTATTATAGAATTGTCAGACTAAGTAAGTCAGGATCCTCATGAAAACTTCCCTCTTAATGATAGCACTATTCAGAGTTTCTGTATCTGTTAGCAATATTCTGCATTTTTTGTACGTCAAATGAAACCCCAAGATAACCCCCATGCAGGAGGAATGCTCTGATAATTCTTAAGCCCAGTCAGGGTCCATATGCCTGATGAAGAAGCTCCCAAAAACCTGCTGACTCAAAGCTAACATATGGTAAGTGTTAGACACTTCAAATTTGTTGGGTTTTGCATCCTTAAGGCACTGGCCAATGTTACATTTACAATTTTACCTGGGCTCCATGAGACCCAGCCTAGACACTTTGATCTCCTCTCTGGGCAGCAGCAGATGGAGGCACAGGCAGGGTGTGAGGGCCTGATCAGCCTCCCTGTACACTGTCTGAGGCCTCCTGGCTGAACCACAAGTGCTCACTTTCTCCTAACTCCAAACTTCAGTTCCCAGAGTCTGGCACCAGCCCACTTCAGCTCTTCTCAGTAACTCTAATATTAATAATGCAGACAAAGCCCCAACCCCAACCTGCTCCTGAATCATGATGCACTATTGTCCTGTAAGCTCCTCTTTCAAGTGCTATTTCCACTCATTATTTTCAGACTTAGCTCTCCTCACAGCTGATCAAAGCCAGGGTGTTCTGCAGGCTGCTCCAACCCAGCTCCCACAGCAGTGCAGGAGCAGGAGGGGCACTGTGAGTAACAGGGAGGCTGCTCATTCTCACTATGCTCAGCCACTGACTGCATGTTCCTCCTACTGACAACCCATCCCGCCTTTCTGAAACTCCTCACCAGCAAAACCCTCAAGCCTTTCCAGGGAGATTCTCACTCACTCTTCTGAGATGTGCGGATCTGAAATGCACAATGACATTCCTAATGGCAGTGCCAGAGTGCCTGTCTCTGCTCACATTTACACTACAACGGAGGAGTTTGCAGGGAGGAACTGTCCTGCCACTCTGTCCTTCCCAGCCAGCATCACTGTCACTCTGGATGTCCACACAACAATTAACAAAACCCCTCAAGACATCAGAATCATTTAGAAAAACCATGAACTGACTCAAATCTTCACTCACGGCATACCCCTGAAGTCTGAGGGGAAGAAAAAGGGGTAAAAAACACCTGGTGATTTCCCCTCCACCACCCCAGATAGAAAAGTAAATTTAAATATTTTTCTAAATAAAACCTAATCCTTGTTGGATTTCCTACACATTAAAAGGAATTTTAGAAAGAGATTCAGATAAACATCCAAACTTTTAAATAGTACCAACCTTCACATTTTTGATGTTCAGCCACCCTGACTAGCCTCATGCAGGTACTTTTTTATATTGATTTGTGTTTTCTCATTAACTCCGGCTGGAACAGGAATGAAGGATGACCACCGTACAGAACATATTTATTGATACAGGGGCACTGACAAGCATGCCATGTAACTGCTATGAGGTTTTTGCAACTCAGATTGCACACATAACAATAAATATTATAAAATAATATTCAGTTGGGAAGATAAAAGAATAGAGTGGACAGCATTTCACTTGAAAATAGTTTAGTCCAGACGATTTCACTACTTGAATAGGTCAAATGCTTCTGTGTTACAGGCACTCATATGCATCTTCATCAACAGGCTGCTGTACTAACTACAGATTACAGATATCTGCAAAGGACTTGTTTCTGCATTTCTAACTTTTGTTCTCAGTATAGAGAAATGGACATGCAGGGATATGAAATGAAATGCAAAAAGGAGATGGTATGTTTAAACTACCGTTTTCAGAAGAGCAAAGTGATTATTGCAGTGATGGTAAATGACACAAAATTACTACTGTCAAAGAAAAAAAAAGTGGATATGAAACAACCTATTCTTTTGTGATATCAGGAAATAGAAAGAAGAACACATAAAGACTCCTGTTGATGTTTTGGGGACGACTTAGTGCAGCCATGGGGAACTGCTGTAGCCGGACCAGAGATAACAGCAGCTTCAAAAGGAGGGGAGAAGCTGAAGGGCTGGAAGGCTGTAAAAGGGACAGCAGCTAAACCCCAGGCACAGCAGGGGAAGGCTCTTACTTGGTTTTGAAGTAGAAGGCTGCACACAGCATGCCCACCACGACGATGCCGAAGACGATGCAGGCGATGGACAGCACCTGGCGCTGGTACACCTCCTCGCTCTCTGTGGGCAGCAAAGGGCACGTTAGGGAGCACAGAACACACCTGCAAAGGGCAGCTGGCAGCCCCTCATGGCTTCACTATTGATGGACAGATGCTTGGAGGTCTGGCCTGGATAATTCCTCCACAGAATGGGTGCTTCTCTGAACCCCCCTCTAGCAAGGTCCATGCAGCTGGGGCCTCCTCGGAAGTTTTAGAAAATGGCCCCAGTACACTCTGAGAGATACAGAATGATGACAGTCAGGACAGTTTAGTCTTTTCTCTGCCCCACATGCTGTTTTTCAGCTTTTCTTAAAGATTTTACCATCAATAGGATAAAGTGCCCTACCACCACGGAGTTTTTCTGGTCTAAGGAAAGAACAATCAGAGCTCTTCTGTTGTCCCACAAGAGTCAGAGTTCTCCTTTACCTACCCCAAAAATGTAATGTTTTATTGATTTGAATGAGTAAGGTTTTTTGATTTGATTAAGGCATTGATTACAATGCCTTACTCCCATGTCCTGAAGCTTATGCAAAACATGCCAGAGTAAAAAATCAACTCAATGAACTTGCATGGAACCCAATGACTATTTTGCTATGAAGCAGCAGATATTGCTTTGATAGGTGCTTAGTTTTTACAAAACAGATTTTCTTTATAAATCTCACAATATTCTAAATAACTTTAAACCAGAAACAGAATGAAAGTAAAAAAAAAAAAGAAGAAAAAAGCTAAGGAAATAAAAGAAAACACTTCTTCATGACAGCAGACAGCAGCTGATAAGCAACTGGAGATTCCTACATTCAATTCAACAGCTCCTTAAGACTTATATTTTATGTTTATTCTTCCAACCACTCTTCTAGTTCAAAATGTGAACACAACAAACAGATTGATATTTTTAAAGATCACTTTTTTCCAAACATGCAACGTACAAGCCAGAATTTTCATCCACAAATTCCAGGAGGAAAGGCGGTGCGTGGGATCATCAGAGCACAGCCCAAGCCCTGTGTGCTGACAAACCCACATTTCCTGCCTAGGCCGGGGCTCTCAGTGCAGGCACCCCCAAACATGGGAACACCAGGCACACATGTCAAGTAGGTGGCAGCAGCTCCAAGTTTGAAACTCTCAGGTTCATAACAAATATTGTATGAAAACACCAAGGTAAATCCAGGCAAATCACTAAAGAGTATATGCAGTACCCTAATCAGTACTAATTAATAATTTTTCAAGAATGAATATCATAGTGCTGTTATTCAACATTTGGAATCTTAAACACAAGCATCTATCTCTTGTAAGACCCAGTTATTATTTTGTAAGCTATTAAAAAGAAAATTACAGTATCAAATCTTGATTTTTTAATTACTTGTCTACCTACTTGCTCTCTCAAACAACACCACAGTGATCTGAGATAGAAAATATCCTCAGCTTCTGCTGATATTTCCCCATTATTTAAATTTGAAATTCCAAAAATTGTATTTCTAAAATACTATCTTAAAAAATTAAAAGAAGCAAATAGATATTTCACCTGTCTAAAAAATAACTGAAGAAACTGTAATTCAAAAGGAAATCCTGTTCATATTGCACTAAATTGATTCCAGTACAGCTTTAGGCCTCTTCCTCACTGGGAGGTCCAAAATCTGGATCTAGACAGTAAATCCTTACTGGCACTGAACTAAATGTTTGGGGTTTAATGTCTTTTGTTTTATTTATTTTTTTGCTGTTAAAAGCAATTGTGCAAACACAGTTACCCAACTTCAATTTCCACAGCAATACACAAATCTAACAAATCTGAATTCTTACATTGATGTAACCACACAAACTCATTTAAAAACTCTTCATTTCAACAATTGTTAACCTGTTCTGCCTGAATACTGATGTCAGCACCTACTGCCTAAGCCCCAACTAAACCACACATAGTTATGAATTGCAGTTTCACTCAAACATTCCATATAAATAACAATTTAAAAATCTGTTCACAAAAATAAATTGATTTAAGTAATGTGTACACTAGGCTTAATTTTGATTTTCTTTCAACTGAAGTCCTCATTAAATACTTTATTTTTTCTCTTGCTATTGCTTTTTGAGAAATTGTTTGTTTAGTACAGCTATGTTCTTTTGTCAGTCCTGAATAGCTATCACTGCCTTGTTAAAGATGCTTCAGAATAAGCCTTACCAAGATAAAAGCAATTCAGAGACCAGACAATATTATCTTGCTAAAACAACTATGTGAAGATTTGAGTCTTTTGTGCAGTCAGATTAATCCCTGTCACCAGCTTTCAACACATGTTGATCAATATTTTCTTTCCTTTTTGTTTACTTTGTACAGTGCATATTTAAAGAAGTACTTATTGATTACCTGTACTCTATTTTTCTAGACACCTTTGTTCATCTTTTACATCCTGTAAATATTTATTTATGTATTGGATTTCAGCATTTTTTGTCTTTAACATTTTAAATATAATCAGTTTGGCATTTTTCCATTCTCTAATCTTCTACACTGACTTTATTTAAAATTCACCTTCTTACTAACAGCAATGCAATCTGTCCTTCGCAGCAAACTACAAGATCTCCTCATGGCTGCCTTGATCTAACCTCACTATTGTGCTAAGCACAGGTAACACAGCTGACACAAGGAGCATCAAAAATTACTTGAATCTGGGGATGGCTGTAGCCAAGCACTGCAAAGCACTTGGGCCCTCACAGAACAGAAACCTGGAGAAATCCAAAGTGTAGAAAAGAGAAGAACTGCAAATTCCTTCTCCTTCACTCAAGGATTTGCATCAGCTGGTGCATGCACTTATTTACATACTGAAACTAACTTCCCAAGGTAAACCAAAGTGTGACTGAAATGATAAGTCTCTCTTTATTCACATATATTCATATATTCCTTGTGAAGTACATCACCTCAATTACAGTCTGCTGAAACAAATACTCTCGGGAGAGGATTCCTCATTTAATGAGCAGCCAAGAAAATATTTCTGTTAAAAACCAAAATATAAACTGCCATGGATATTCCTGGATAATCCACTGGATTAAGACTACAGAATGTGAATTTCACCAAGCATTCAAATTACAAAAAATACACAACCTCTAGTGAGAGAAATACAACCACAGTGCTGAAAAGTAACGTAGTAAACTGTTTAGATGCAGATTTTGTTTAATAAATATTATGGAAAGAAAGGTCTTCTCAGAACATAAAGACAAGACAAACTAACAAGGGGCACGGTGCCTGTTGCAAGGCTGAGCTCCCAAAGAAAAGTCCCCGTGCACTGTGTGCCCTGTTACACGTGGAGCCCATTCTCAATTATGCTATTGATTGTTTCTTATTTTCCAACCTGCTATAAAGTTTTCTAAGCTTATCTCAGTCATTTTCTGCTATTATGAAGCACAAAATGACTACTAGTGACCCATTGCTCACAGCACAGTTAAATTTCACATACATTATGAAAAAAGTACATGTTATATTCCAGGTACTGGGGGTTCGGGTTTTTTAATTCTCTTGCTCTTTAAAATTTACAGCCTGTATCCTGTTTATTTTATGCATATGCAAAGACCCACTGAAGCATACATGTTTTTCTTTAGAGGATTAAAAAGTGTAGGGTGGACACATTTTTCTCATAACAATCATTTCTAAAGGATATTTTTTTTTATTGTACATAAGCTGAAACTGGTCTCTTCTTTTTGACTTTATTATAAAAGGAAGAATGCTGGCACAAGGTCCTTGAGTATGATTATAACCATATTACTGAGGAAAAAAATTAGTTAATTAAAACAGATTATGCTAGGCTTTGTCAGCACCTAAATCCACAATATCATTTCCAGCCATAATCACTGGATCCTCTGGTTCCATTCTGTGTTTTGAGTTGAAATATCTTTGAAAGGGATTTCAAATATGAAAAACAGCATTGTGCATGTGGCCTATACAAAACAATAACAAAACAAAAATAGTAACTTTCCCCCTTGTGCTTATTCCAATGGCTTTTGAATAAAATCTCAATATGGTCACAAGCATCACAGAGAATAATTACTGACTATTCAAACCAAGCCAACTGAGAAATTATGACATTTACCATACAAATGCATTACTTAACCTTTGCTCTGTGAAGAAAACTCCCCCATGAAAATTAATAAAGGTGCAGAATAATTTTTATGCTGAAATTTTTACTCCCAGCCCCAAAAGCACAAACCCTAAAAGCACTCAGCACCCCCTTACCTTCCTCACTCCCTTCTCCTAAAAGAACCCACTCTGCATTACTGCAGGTAACAACACACTACACACAAATATAGGAAACCCTTTATCTTGTCATTGGAACACATGAAACCCTGTAGCTTTCCACGCACAGAGCCAGCTTTTCCTCAATAGATTACAGGGCAGCAATAGATTACAGGCAAGGCTTTGGGTTTTTTTTGGTCCCCATGCAAAAGCGGAGCCGTGCAGAGGCAGAGAATTGGATGCTGTGATCTCTGCTGTGACCTCACTGCCACACTTTTTGCATTTCCCTCCACGCCCTGCCCATGCCTTTCCTGCCACACCTCCATTCCAGATGATACTGGAATATCCTGCAGAGCCAGACCCTCACTTCTGAAGGGAACCTCAAAAGTCCCATTCGCCACTTAAACCCTCTTTGGTGTCCAGCAGCCTCAAAGTGCCACAGACAACAATGGAGGAGGACTGCATGGAAATCTCAGCCACAATATCAAGATTTTCAATAAAATACAGATTCCCATAAGATAAAAGAGAGTAGTTGAAGCATGTTTCTCAATATAGGTAGATTTATGTGTGAGAAGTACTGAACTATATACAGCATTCTAAATTTAATTCATGAAGAGAATAAAAAAAGCCTGCATGTTCCACAAAATCTGTGATTGCCTCAGCATCAGACATTCCACTCTCCCAAGAGTTTTCTCTGTTCTTGCACTTGCAAAAACCTACTGCACAGATTCTCTGCCATATGCTGTGGCTTGTGCTAAGGCAGAGAGAAACAGCTGAGACGCTACAAGGCACAGTTCACAAATTTCTTCTTTGAC